GCTTTTTGTAAAGACTTTCTATCTATTTTTTCCCATGTGGCTCAACTATTTGCAACTAAAATTAATGTTGGAACTCATCTAGGAAGAGGTATTTACTAAATTCTTTAGCATGTACTGACATTTTTAATGTAGCAAATATGTTCATTTTAGACAAAATTTTAAGGGAATTTTGAAATTCATATAAAATATTATAAAACTCAAGTTTGTGTTTTATATTATTTTAAGAATACAGAATTCAAATACTCTTAATCCTGTGTTTCAAACCTAGAATTTATACTCTAAATGGAGCTCAATTTTATGAAAAGGAGTTTTGATATTAAAAATCCACCCATTATCAGAAGGTATCAATCAAAGTTTGGGCATGCAGCAGTTTTTTTGTTTGTTTGTTTGTTTTTAATTAGGAAAGCATCTCACCAAATTTATGGGGAAGAAATCTATTTCTCATTAAAATAATAAAAATCTTTCAAAAGTGTTCAACACTTTCTTGCTAGTGAGACAAGCAAGAGCAAGTGCTGGTGAGTAAACTCGAGAACAGAAGGGAGGCCTGTTTTTAATTCTAGGCGGTCAAACCTCGATTCTCAAACACCTTCCATCTCAAACAATCTGGTTCTTGACCAAGTTGTCCATGGAAAAAGGTGTCTTGGTTGTCAAAGAAAACTTTGGTTCTCAACCTAATAACTCTTTCATGCTGATACCTGGGAAAAATTATTTGGTTTTCAAATAAATCACTTCTCAAACAGCCTTCTGGAACAAATTAAGTTCGAGAACCGAGGTTCCACTGTATTATGAAACAATAATAAAATATTAGTAGAAAAGTGGTGAAATCTGAAAAAAAATGCGTGATTTTGAGTTCTGCCACAAGGGAATGCAAAATAAAACAGAAAGTACAGAATTTCTATAAAGGTAATGCTTCTGGTAGACTTGTGATGTAGTATCAGTTATTATGTCACTGTTATGTTATTACATCACAAGTCTAACTCAAGACAGTGATCCTCACAGATTTAAGGGATACTCACAAAGTAATTGAATGTTACCAAACTGTCACCAAGTGGATGCTGGTCTCCTAAAGGACAGGACCACGTTGGGGGCTCTGTATCGGCTCCCACTGACACCAGCTCTGGCAGTGGCTGCCAGCAGGTGAGCAGTAGGACAGCCCACGCTGTGGGAGCACGGACACCCTTGGTCCCTGCTACCTCGACTACTCTGCTCTGGGTCCCAGTGAGCAAGCCCTGGGTGGCTTAAAGATGTTATAAATGTAAATGCTGCTACTTTGCAAATATACACAGATGGCATTGAGGTTAATAAAATTCAAATCTAAAGACCATGAAGGATGACTTCATAGATGGGAAAAAAGATGAGCATGTCCACTCACTCTTCAACGACTCTCCCTTCGACAGCTCACTTTCCCTTCCCTTCCTCACTGCCTCCCTCAACGTGCCAAGCAGCCTCCCTCCTGGGCCTGCCCTCCTTCACCCTTCTTTGAAAGCCCCACGAGGGCAGTGGAAGGAGCACAAATAGTAGCATTCATTTATTCCTAAGGTTTTAATTTTAATTTACCCTCCCCCAAAAGATTATTTCTCCTCACATCAAAGAAAAACAAAACTCAAAATAATATTGACATATTTGAAGTAAATTTCTACAAACTAATATTTTCCTTTGTACTTTATAAGATTTACGCTTTTACTTGTACTTTGCAAACATTCCTCACCTTTGAAATGGTTAACTTGGTAATGTCTGTATATGTTTCTTAACATAATTAAAAACAAAATTATATAAAACTAATTATAATACAAACTGAGGATAAGTATGATAAGATATATTTAAATTCCGATTAATTTTAAAAGTAGATACTATTAATATTTTTGGCTTTTTAAAGCATATTTTGTATAAAAGTTATAGATATATAGTTCCCTCCATATATGCATGTATAATACACATATCACAGCTTTCTGCATAATACATTTCTTCCTGTGGGAAGAACAGCACATACAAAAAAGGGCTGGGTTATATAGAACAAGGAACTGTATCAAGAACAGAAAACACTGATTAACTCTGATGGTCATGTACTTATCAGGTACAAACAATGATAGTATGTTACAAGATGATGTACTAGTCAAATGTCTCAGAGAGAAGAAAAATGTTTCTTAAAGTCCAAAGATAAACACAGAAGGCTATGCCCCCAGCCTGGCATTCACTTTGTGTGTGTGTGTGTGTGTGTGTGTGTGTGATAAACTTTTAAAAAAGAATTTGTTATTTTTCAAGTACAGTTTTTTGTCTATTTCTCCCATCCCATCCCCCCCACCCCGTGCCCCCCACCTCCCTCCTATTTCCACCCTCCTTAGTTCTCATCCCTGTGTCCTTCATATTTGTTCCTCCAAATCCCTCCCCTTTTTCCCCATTAAATTCCCTTCCCTCTCCCCTCTGGTCACTGTCCCCTTGTTCTCTATTTCAGTGTCTTTGTTTTTATTCTGTTTGCTTGTTTGTTTTGTTGTTTAGCTTCCTGTTAAAGATGAGATCATATGGTATTTGTCTTTCAACCCCTGGCCTATTTCACTCAGCATAATGCTTTCCAGTTCCATCCATGTCGTTGCAAAGGGTAGTAGCTCCTTCTTTCTCTCTGCTGCATAGAATTCCATTATGTATATGTACCACAATTTTTTGATCCATTCATTTACTGATGGGCACCTAGGTTGCTTCCAACTCTTGGCTATTATAAATTGTACTGCTATGAACATTCTGGTGCATAGGTTCTTTTGGATTGATGTTTTAGGATTCTTAGGATATAATCCTAGCAGTGGAATTGCTGGGTCAAAAGGCAGGTTGATTTTTATTTTTCTGAGAAAATTCCATACTGTTTTCCATAATGGTTGTACCAGTCTGCAATCCCACCAACAGTGAACTAAGGTCCCCTTTTCCCCACAACCTCTCCAACATTTGTTGTTTGTTGCTTTGTTTATGATAGCCATCCTGACCGGTGTAAAGTGGTATCTCATTGTGGTTTTTTTTCCTTCCTTATTTTTGTTTTTTAATTAATTTTTTTACTTTAAACAATTTTTTATTTTTAATTACAGTTGATATACAATCTTATATTAGTTTTAGGTGTACAGTGTAGTGAATAGACATTATATAACTTACTAAGTGATTATCCCATAAATCTAGTATCCATCTGACAACATCCAGCTACTACAATATTATAATAATCCCTATGCTATAGTTTACATCCCCATGATCATTACATCTTGAATTTGTACTTTTTTTTGTTATTAGTAATATTTATCTTTAATTCTAGACTGCTATGTCAATACACTGAGGTGACCATATTTTCTGACCAAAAATACATACAGATATATCTGGAAAATTTTTTTTTAAATTTAGTTATTTTTCAAGTACAGTTTTTTGTCTATTTCTCCCATCCCAGCCTCCCCCACCCTGTGCTCCCCACCTCCCTCCCATTTCCACCCCCCTTAGTTCTTGTCCCTGTGTCCTTCCTATTTGTTCCTCCAAATCCATCCCCCTTTTTCCCCTTAAATTCCCTTCATTGTGGTTTTAATTTGCATCTCTCTGATAGCTAACAATATTGAGCATCTCCTCATGTGTCTCTGGATATTTTGTATGTCCTCCTTGGAGAAGTGTCTGTTCAAGTCCTTTTCCCATCACTTTTAAATAGGGGATTAAATGCAGTGTGGCTTCTGAATGAGATCCCAGAACAATAGAAAATATTAGCAGAAAAGTGGTGAAATCTGAAAAAACGGGTAATTTAATTAACAATAATGCACCGAGGTTAACTTTTTAGTTTTGACATGTATTGTTGTATATAAAATGCTAACATTGGGAGAAACTTGGCAAAGCACATATGGGAACTTCCCACACTGCCTGTGTAACTTTTCTATAAATCTCAATATATTCCCAAATTAGAGTTCATTACAAGATGGAGGGGCAACTTCACTAAGGATACACCTATGCACACAGGACACAAAACTGAGCTGCAGTGATGGCCTGACATACAATAGAGGGGAGTATCTGAGATACAACATCCCAGAGAGAAGTGGGGAAGTCGTGATGGGGAGAGAGGCGTGAGGGGCTTCCCTGTGCTGTAATGTCTACTTCATGGCCAGGACTGGTGGGTGCATGCGGTGTTACTTTTATGACAACTGTCTGAACTGTACCTTCCGCTACATAACCCTCCAATTAAAAAGAAGTTAAAAAGCTCTTCCCTATTACTGGTAAAGGTTAGAATGAAGAGAAAAATGTGTGAATAAATGAGATGCACACGAGGGAAGAAGAAAACCTGGATAGGACCACTTGTAACAGTTACTACATCACAAGTCTAAGATTTTCAGAGCTGGGAAGTTCTTGAAATTGCCAAACCCTGGCATGGACTGTTCTTTATGGAGAGCCCTGGAGATACTGATGCATCAGGGCTCACAGGGCACAGACATCTGTATTTGAGCAAAGGCCCCAGGTGATCTCATGCACATAAACACTAAACAACCCCAGGAAAGGTCAGTCACCAGGTCCTGGCTCCCTGCAGCTACAGACCAAAGGCCCAGCCAAGACCCCTGAGACATTCTGATTCCACTGCAGAGAAACCTCAGTAAGTTCTACTGACCCTACAAGGCTTGTCAGAGCTTTGTCCATCATAATGGCTCTTTTACCCTACAAATGACACTGGGTTTTTCCAACATAGTCTAGATTTCATACTTCCACTATAAAATCAATACATTCGTTATCTTATGTACTAAAATAATGCCAGATCATAGCTTCCTATCACATTGAAGCTGGAGGGCACTAGCACACCTATGCAGTTTACAGATGAGGAAACTGCTAACAGGTATTAGTGGCTTGTCACGAGATTCTAGAATTCCATTTATTTTGGGTCAATTAATTGAACAATTTCTCCAATGTGGGTATTGTCTGACTATATAAACTAATAGTACATAATATCTCTAGTTTATGACTTGGGTTCTTTCATAATTTAGTTCATTGTGATTTCCATGAAGGTTTCTGTTGAAAAAATTCTGGCTGGTAAATAACATGATGTCAAATGAAAAAAAGACAACAACATATTTCATTGAATACTTAAATCAAGATGCTCCCTTGTGATTTTATTTTATTTTTAAATTTTTTATTTATTGATTTTAGAGAGAGAAAAGAAGAGGGAGAGAGAGATATCGATTTGTTGTCCCACTTATTTATGCTTTCATTAATTGCTTCTTATATGTGCCTTCACCAGGGATCGAACCCACAATCTTGCTGTGTCAGAAAGACACTCTAATCAACTTGAGCTGCCAGGCTGGGGCTAGGGTGCTCCCTTTTTAATGTGTAGAAAAAATATAAATTAGAGAGAAATTTATGTAAATTTTTTAAGAAATAACAATTTTAGGTAAGCAATTGTAAGGAAGATGACAAGCATACATGCCAAGGCTACATGGTTCTGCCACAGGCCCCACGGTGAGAGGTCAATGCCCTGGTTTATCAAGAATTCTTCTCCAGTGCATCTGAAATGAAACAAACAAGAAAAAGAATATAACTGCATTCTCTGCATCTGTCCAATTCTACTCATTGTTCTTGCTGTTCCTCAGTTAAAGAACTCTGTAAGTTACCAAGTCTTAAATAACTATCCCTTCATATATAATAGATAACAGTTAAAGAGCGTGTACAATTCTTCTAGATACCATGCTAAGCAACCTGCTTATAGCAGTTTAGTTAATCCTTGAAGCGACTCAATAGGGTGGATATTATACACATTTAAGAGATAAAGAGACTAAGGTTTAAGGAACTTGGCCAAGTTCACAGACTCACACTTTGAACCAAGGTGCTGTTCTCTCCAGATTCATTTGTTTACAAATCTATGATGCTGCTCTCTTCAAAAGGCAGAGGCATTTAGCAGTATTTTTCACTCACTCCCAAAGGGGAAAACCTCCTTTGACAGGTGACATCTAAGGCCCTTACCAACTCCATCAGAACTCTTTACAGAACTCATGACCCACGAATCAGCCATACAAAAGAAATGCAGGCTAAGAATTCTAAACCTAGAAAAACAGGGGAGGAAGGGTTTCCCGACAGCTGCTCTCTGTCAGCTCTTGAGCCAAGACTGGAAGGAGCAGGCCCATTGTGAGGGGGAGGAGGCCTTGGTGGAAGCTGGAGTAGAGCAGGATGGAGGAGCCCGGCCACAGGTTAGATCAGCACCTGGTACTGAAAATAACTGGTACAGCCAAAGTGATTGTCTGGTACCATTTTTGTACAACTCATAGAATTTAGCAGTTTAAAAAAATCACACCCAGATCAAAAGGGGGTGAATGGACAGGATAAAGAAACCTCTTCCTACCTAGAAGTTTCCTGGTGGTACAGTTGACCCTTGAACAATGCAAGGCCTACGGGTGATCCCCATGCACAGTCCAAAACCCACACATAACCCCCAAAATTGAACTACCAATAGCCTACTGTGGATGGAAACATGATCAATATCATAAACAGTTGATTAGCACATATTTTATATTTTACATGTATTATATTCTGCATTCTTATAATAAGGTAAGCTAAAAAAGAAAATGTTAAGAAAAGTATAAGGAAGAAAAATAGATGTACAGTATTTATTGAAAAAGAAATCCCTGTATAAGTAGATCTGCGCAGTTCTTACCTGTGTTGTTTAAAAACCAACCATACTTCAAAACAGTAATTTGCACCATTATTAAGAATTATTTCTGTTCTACTCAAATGGTTGTGAGATTTAGAATACCAGAATTCTCTTTTCTCTCATTAATTAACATATCAACATCAAACCATTAACAACAATCATTGAAAAGGAAAGCATCATTTCATAAAACATCCTTTAATTTTATTAAAATCTGCCTTTCTATTTTATTAACATGCCCCCCCAAAATGGGATCCCTGGGCCTGAGAAATCTCAGATTACTGAAATATGTGTTCCTTTCTTAGAAGATACATCCCTTCATAGGGACTATTCCGAGTCAATTTAAGAAACAAAATAAAAAACTGGGCAAACTTTGATTTCATGACACCTCTTAAACATAGGAGGAAGAGACCAGTGCTGGGACCCTGGGAGGAAAAGCTTCACTCCCTTTCCAGTTCTGCTGCCCTTACTCCTGGCCATGGGTTGTGCTCACAGGAAGCCATATGTTGATGGGCCCATACACTTTCCATAATCCAGTAGTGCAGATACTATAAGGTCCTTCTAAAATATCAAAACACCTATTTTGAAAGACCAATGTTCTGAAAAATCATCTCACACCCTCAAGCAAAACAGCAAAAGGATCTCTTATAAACAACTGAAAAAAACAGCACATAGGAAACATTTCTCTGACTTAAATACAATTTTGACTATAGTAAATATCTAGGAGTTGTACCATAATTTCATATGCCTTAGTGGACAAAAACTCATTTTACAGGTCAGAAAACTAAGTCTCAAAGCAGTCAGTGTCCTGAACAGGACTCATACCATCTCTAAGCCCAGTGGCCTTTCTCCATCACAACACACAGTAAGCAAACCCGTTATGACACTGAATGCAAACTTACATTGCAAATCTACAGGTATCATTTCCTGTTACATTGAGTCCTGGGCAGAAGTTTTGTCCCAAAAATTCATTATGCTGCAAAGCCTATAACACAAGAGGGAGTGAGCAAAGTAAATAGTTTTAATTTCAAAGTTTCCAAAGAGTTACCATGAGATCATCATGCTAGTTTAATGTTATTATATTTCTGAATACAAACTAAGTTTCAAATTCATAGTCTTTGTTACACCAAAGCAACTAAAGAGATTTTTTTTCTGGCATTCAAGAGAACTGGAGGAGGGATTTTGAATTCTCACAAAGAAAAATATTTTGCCAAGAGTCCTCTGTCTATATTATAACACAGTATTTTCCTCCTTCTCTTTTCAATGTTATAAACCTTATCAACACTGAAAATGATACCATGGTACTCAATGAGTATTGTTAATTTATGGTAACATATTTTATATGGTTCTTTTTCTTATCAAATCCAGTTATTATTCTTGGAAATAAGAAACTCAGTTATACTATATTAAGGCACAGTTTTGTTTGCAGTTGATTAGATTCTAAAGCCAATAGTGGCTATGATATTATATAGTCTCCATTTTTCTTCTAATTTAGCTTTCAATATAAAATATGTAGTCTTGGCTCCCATCCTCTCATCTATTTCCTCATTGAGCTAAAAACCAACTACATTTCTTTACATCAATTCATTAATTTTCCTCCTTAACTTCAAGTTATCACCCCACCCTTCACCTCCCTCACACAACAGTGGCGGGAAAGCCAAGTTCACCCAAGGCTTAACAGGAAACTGTCCTTCACTGCTCCTGAAAGGAACATCCTGGGAGACCTCCACAGCTCATGTCTGGGGACATGAGATGGTCAGGCTTTACTCTGATTGCTCCTAGCGTGGGAACAGTAGCCTAGTCACAGGGACAGAAGAGGAGAACTTACCACATAGCCATATCGAGGAATGCTCAGGTACTGAAGCCATGAAAGCCAAGGCGCAACGGTCCGGAGGTTGACCAACAGCCCTGAAAAAATCTACACAGAGCAAATGCAACATCAGAACTGGTGGAGTGATTTCATGAAGAATTCTGGAGGTTACCCTCTTTCAGTCCCTACAACCTTGTAAACATTTCTGCTAAGGCCAATTCTTTCTCGAAATTCCTTCCACTACTCCAAAGACTTATGACATCTTCTTTGCATATGTATTCTTCTCTATAGCTGTATTCCTCTCTACAGCTCAGGCTGTTTGTGGTTTTAAAGGAATGACAATATATCCATATTTCATCTAATCAGAAGATCCTTAATTGTTGAGGCTTTTCCTTCGTCTGTAACGGCACCCGGTGGAATGTCCATAGTCCTGACTGTTCTAATGCTGCAACCACTACACGTTCCCACCAACAGACACGCAGAACATGTCCTGATGACCTCATGCCCCTCTGTACTTCAGTAACATGGTAGGTGGTATTATGGACAAGGGTTTGTGTTCTATCTCCACATGACTTTAGGAATAATTTGGGGTTCAGAATGCATGCTTATAATGACCCAAGTCCTAGACATAATGTGGCAAACTATAGAATAACATGTGGTCGATACCTTCATTTAAAGTGACCAAAAGCAGTATTGCCACGGAGAGCCCAGGAAGGACCACTCCAGCAAGAGGTGGCTACATGAGAAGAGGGTCCTACAAAATGCCCCCAGCTGGCCCTTGCCCTGTGGGAATGGGCATAACAGAGATGATGATGCTGTGGGAGGGCATATTTTCGATCTAACAAAGTGTTCCTGTGTAACATCTCTCAGTAATATATGATTTTACATGTGTTTTCAAAGCTCTCTATATAAACCATTAAATAAATAATAACAAATCAAAGCATCTAATATATCAAACAAAACATTTTTATACATTGAACCACATTTTATTTATTGGATGACATTACTGGAAACATATGCAAGGTTTATCACTTTCACAATAATGTTCAGATAGGTTGTTTTCAATGGCAAGAGTGTGCTATTTACAAACTTTTAAATACATCTACTCCTACTCTAACAGAAAAGTATATATAGTAATAAGTGTCCCTGTTTATTTGAGTGTGCTAACTGGGTCCTTCACCTGTGCATTCATCTATGTGCGTGCAAGATTCAGGGACATAGGAGACCAGGGTTAAATAACCTCTAAAAAAAAGATAATCAGAAATATATTGAACTTCCGCCAAGATGGAGGCATAGGTGGAGACGCTGTGCCTTCTCTCACAACCAAGTTTAGAGACAACTAAATATTAGCAACAGAAAACATAGCCAGAACACAGAAAAATGAACTTTTCGGAAGTCCGTTAACAAGAAATTCTTCAGCCTGACCGGAAAGAGGGGCGAAACCAGCAGTTGTCAGTGCGGGGTTGCACAGAAAAACTCGGTCAGACGGACTTGGGCACTCGGAACCCAGGTGCAGGATTGTACCAAGTAAGCGACTCAGCAAGCAACCATGGGGAAACAGTGAGGGAGCAGGGCTGCAGGTTGACTGTGGTCGCGCTTTCCTGCGCAGATAGACAAGCAAGGGAGTGGGCGGTGAGACTACGGGACTGAACAGGCCCCACGGCGAGCAGCAGCACAGGGCGCCGCCATTTCCCCGCTCTGACCCCGCCCCCACATACAGCGTCACAACCCATCGACCTGAGAGTCCAAGGCTCTGCTCATCGTACTTAACAACAGGTGAGAACAGACCAAAAATGGCTCAAGAAGATCTCAAAGCCCCAGAGCCTATAAATCTAAGCGATGAAGAAATAGCAAAACTCTCAGACGCACAGTTTAAAACACTGGTGATCAGGATCCTCACAGAACTGGTTGATTATAGCCACAAATTAAACAAACATATGAAGGCAAAACTAATTGAAATGAATGGAATTGCACAGGAAACCAATACTAATGGAAAGGAAACTGGGACTCAAATCAATGGATTGGACCAGAAGAAAGCAAATAATGGCCAAACAGAAAAGAGTCAGGAAGCAAGAATTCAAAAAAATGAGGAGAGTCTTAGGAACCTCCAGGACATCTTTAAATGCTCCAACATCCGGATTATAGGGGTACCAGAAGGGGGAAAGGAACAGCCACCAGTGGAAAACTTATTTGAACAAATAATAAAGGAGAACTTCCCCAATCTGCAAAGGAAATAGACTTCCAGGAAATCCAGGAAGCTCAGAGAGTCCCAAAGAAGTTGGACCCAAGAAGAAACACACCAAGGCACATCATCATTACATTAGCCAAGATTAAAATGAAGGAGAGAATCCTAGAAGCAGCAAGAGCTAAGGGGACAGTCACCTACAAAGGAGTTCCCATCAGACTGTCAGCTGATTTCTCAAAAGAGACCTTACAGGCAAGAAGGGGCTGGAAAGAACTATTCCAAGTCATGAAATCCAAAGACCTACAACCAAGATTGCTCTATCCAGCAACACTTTCATTTAGAATGGAAGGACAGATAAAGTGCTTCTCAGATAAGATCAAATTCAAGGAGTTCATCATCACCAAGCCCTTATTATATGAAATGTTAAGGAGACTTATCTAAGAAAAAGAAGTTAAAAAAACATGAACAGTGAAAGGACAGCAAACTCACAGTTAGTAACAACCACATCTAAAACAAAAGCAAACTAAAAGGACAGCTAGATCAGGAGCAGAAACATAGAAACGAAGATCTCAAGGAGGGTTAGCAAATAGGGGAGTGGGAGGAGGAGAAGGGGAGAGAAAGTACAGAAAATAAGTAGCATAGACAGTAGATAGAAAATTGATGGGGGGGCAAGAATAGTATGGGAAATATAGAATCTAAAGAACATGAGACACATGGTCATAAACTAAAGGGGGGGTAACGGTGGGGATGAGGGGTCGAGTGGAGGGGAGTGAAGGGGGGAATAGAACAACCGTAATGGCATAATCAATAAAAAAAATAAAAAAAAAGAAATATATTGATATATGTGAATGCCAAGAACCCAGAAAGGAGGGGGCCTAGTACTGTGTGGACTTTGGAATATTTCACTATTTTTAAAACAATTTCATAACATAGGAGGAACCAAGACAGTCGCCCATGCCGCACACTGTTCTTTCTCCCGTGGAGCTCAGCCTTTCCCTTGGAAAGTATTTGATCAAAACAAACCATCTCAGCTGCTGGGCAAATAAGCCAGCAGTTCTCCAACCCCAGCATGGAAGTCAGGCAACTAACCTGTCATTTCCATGAGGGAATCTTTCAGTTGAAATATTTCTGACTTTGAAGTTCCCAGTCACCAAGGTTTCATTATAGGCCACCAAGAAGCATCTTTGAAACTCTCATATGTGTCAAGCTGTTAACTAAAGTTATACTAATCATATTAGAACAATAGCAAAAAGACTGGGTAAGGTAGAGAAGAAGCTGTTACTCTCTCTAATATAAGCCATCTTTTAACACATGGCTTCCTTAAAGCTAAGAGTCCCATTGAAAGGATCCTCAAAGCAGGTTTTCCTGACAGGTGAACTTGCCAGGATTAAAGAGGAAAAATAACAACTTCTCAGAGAAGCGCAGTTCCCACTCACCATCATAAACACGAAGGAGATGGTCATGAGAAGTGTTGCTATGGACACCACACTCTGACCTGCTGCTATGGCCAGAGCCATAGAACTGGCCGAATAAGCCACCATCATAAGGGTAAACATCATGATGAAGAAGGACTCCACCACTGGCTTCAATCCTTAGGAAGAAAAGAAGGGGTTAATACAACCACCGAGGTCACTGTGCATCTGGGATTCATTGTTTATTGTGCAAATGTTTTAAGAAACAATCACCAGAATGAAAAATTCACCCTGTATCCAACCACCCTGAGTCACCAATTTCATTGTCCCCCCCCGCATGACTGCATAGAGCTATCACCCAGTTTTCTTTTTCACACTACTGCATGAGCACTTGTTCGTGTAACACCTATGCTCCTTACTGCATAATTATGAACAATTGCTGAGTGCCTGGGATGAGGGCTGGAGGCAACACATTGGCCGGACTTCTGCTGCCTTCTCCCTGAGAAGGGAACTTGTCAAGAGCACATTCTTTTCGCCCAGACAGCCCCACAGTACTCACTGTTTCCTCTAACTGTGGGAGTGAGGAACCTGGGAATGTCAGGATGATGCGACCTCCCAGCAGTGTCACTGTCTGAGGGAGGGTTGCAGAACTCGGTTCTCTGAGACAAAGTACCGTAGAGCTGGGGATTCAGGAAGCACCTTCTAAACTATAGTGGGGCACTATTCCAGGTCACACACTGAAGAGTTTGGGACAGCCATAGGGACACTCATCAGGAGCCTGAGGATCCAGACTGTGTGCCTAGCTGTGTGCCTAATTCTTTCAGACACATCCCTCATTTGTAAATTGGAAGTTGAAACTCAATCGGTATGTCTTCTTCTATGGTGCTTTCTCAAAATTATATGTATTACTAGTGTCCAAGTATATGTACACAGTGAAATATATGTAAATTCCAAGGCAATGAGCCAGGGCAGAATCCTTAACACAGCGCACACATGAATCTGTCTTCATGCACTAAAAAAGTATTCTTACTAAAACAATAAACCCCAAAAGTTGCTGTTTTCAGTTTCTATGTGTGTGTGTATGTACATATACACATAAGAACACAAATAGATAGGCAATAAATGTCACAGCTCCAGCTCCTCCAGCAAAGTCTCAATTACTGATGAATTCTTTGCACGTCTGTGTATGACACACACCATCACTGAGTAACATCATTTTATAAAAGCTATAAACATTAGTGTGGGAAGAGACTTGACATAAATGAACTCGGGGACTAGTTATTTCAGAGTGTACACAATAGACAGACACTTCCTTATCTCATGGTTCCTTATCTCAGGGCTTGTTTTACAGTGTTGAGAACCAAAAACATTCTCTCAAAAAGAAATCAGCTTCCCCTCACATCCCACGTTACAGACAGGTACTTTCTGTCTTACTGCTTACCTAACATGAAGTAGATTATACAAGTAAATATAATACTTGGTAACATCCTCATGGACAGTAAATCAGATAACAGTTTCCCAATGAAATAAGATGACACTCTGTAGTATCCACTGATATATTCATGCCTAAAAAACAAAAATTCACACCAGGCATCCCACATGAGTTTAGGGAGGCACAGACTCAGTGATTAAGCCACTTGCTCCAAAGATCTGCTGCCACCAGGGGTCTAACAACCACAGCTTCCACATCCCCCAGGTTAACCCTCTACCCCCACCCAGTGAGCATAAGGCACCATCTCGGGGCCTCTCACTTCCCCTGACATACCATTCCCAACCTGCTCTGTGTGATGACCCCTATTCTCACTGTAAAATTCCCTCCTAAGGCCGCCCACTTTGCCCTCAGAACCTCCACTCCAGGTGAACATGTTCTAGATCTCCTCCCCCCACTCAGACACTGGATTTCCTTGAAAGGCAGCACCTCTGTAGCTGATCTCAGTTATCCCCCAACATCCCCTGACATCCTGATATCCCCCAGTGCAGCCCTGGAACACTACTAAGCCCCTTTCCATTCTTCCATTCCCATGATAGAAAAACTACATAGCATGTCTTCCTTCAGTAATCCTGCCTCCCAAATGTAGACCCCTATCAGCTATCAAATCCTATTTGCTCCCCAGCGAGGACCTAGATCCCTCCTCTTCCTGACATCCTCCTCCTGTGACTCCAAACTCCTCCACCAATGTTTTCATCCTCTCCCTCTGTAATGATTCCTTTCCTCAAGCATGTGCATATGGGAAAATCTCTTCCCACTTTGAAAAACACAGGAACCAAACCAGCCAACACTTTATTTTAGGCTTCCTTCTGGCTCTTTCCATTCTCCCTTCCATTGAGGAGGGACAAGCTTGGTCTATATTCTTTATCACTTTTACATCCTCACTTTCAGTTTAGTTTTAACCTAGTTCTTTTTCTCTACCAAGCCCCCAAAACTTTTTATGTGAAGGTCATCATGACTTCTTAGTTGCTACAACAAAATCTCCTTTTTAGCCTCTATTGCTTGCATTCTCTGTACCATTTGCATTTGAGGCTATGCCATAATCTTGAAACTCCTTTTGCCTTGGTCACAGGCCCCTTATGCTCATGATTCCCCTCCAAGCCCCTGGCTGCTGCTTCTCAATAATCCCTAGTAATCCCCAGGAACCAATCTGTGGCCCATTTCAGCATGTGATCCATCTGAACAATAACCCTGACGATGGACAGCCCCCTTCCCAGAACAGAGACACACTCACATAAAGAGCTTCTTCTCAACCACGAAGAGCTCCACAGAAGTCACACTGGTGAAGCACTGGTTGGTTGTCAGGAAGAAGAGCACCCCAGCTCTGCGATGAGAGAAGAGAACAAAAGCACTGCAATCAGTCAAACATTCTTAGGTCAATCTTCTACCTGCAAAACTCTTTCGTCAAGTGATGTCTTCTGACATTGTGCAAGTGTTCAAGTTAAAAGAGTGAGGGGAGGGAAGTACAAACTCCCTTAGGTCTCCCCCCAGAGTCTCCCCAGTGGGGTCCCTGGGACTCCACATGGCACAGGTTAAAATTCACAGTCCTGGGTTGCCATGGATTGAACTGTCTCCCCCAAAATCCTTATGTTGAAGCCCTACCCTTCAAGGTGAAGATATTTACAGATAGCATCTTTGGAAGGAAGCTAAGTTTAGATGAGGTCATGGGGCTGGGGCCCTCAGGATGGGGTCAGTGTCTGAAGACAAGGAAAAGATGTCAGGGCTCTCTCTTTGCCACATGAGGACTCAGCAGGGAGCAGAAAGCCAGAAGAGGGCCTCTTCAGAACCCAGCATGGTGGCACCCACATCCTCCAAATTATAAGAAATAGGTATCTGTTGTTTAAGCCATTCAGTCTGCGGTTGTTATGGCAGCCAAGGTGATGATTACAAAGGTCATAAAAATGCCACCACCTTTAATTTTAACTAATGAAAACACAAGTACCATCCTAATGCATGAACAGAGAAATAGTCAAAACCTGCAAAGGTTAGAAACCTCTCTTAGCCAGTTTGTCACAGTTGAGTAAAGAAGGAACTAAGACATGAGGGGACCAAGTGAAAGATGGTGGAGGGAAAGCTCCGTGGACACCTCATTAGACACATTCATCTCTCAGTCAGGAGAAGAACCTCGTGTTGTCCTTGACAACCCACTGCCAGTGTGGCTGCCTGTGCACTCAAAGAGGAAGCGAATCACCCTCCTAAAGGAAAATTAACTTGTGCATACGGACAAAGAGGAAGACTATTAATGCTTCCCTCTCAGTAAAATAAGGTCTAAAAAGAAAGTATTCAGTTCATCTGCACTTTGATGGAACTCTAAATTTTATGAAAGTATGCCCGCATCCCCCAAACAGTGTTGCACTTTCCTGCACAACCACACAATTTAATTGACATTGAGGACCTGAGTGGAAAGCAATAGATGAGGTGGTACATTATTTAAATAACACAAAATTAAGAGAGCATTAAAAAAAATGTAAACCCAAGTGTACAAGCCCCAAAACAGAGTCCATGGACACTAAGTAACTGTTTTTAATGCCAAATGACAATAAAAGTAATAACTAATAACTTAGGTAACAGCCTATACTAAAAGTAAATGTTTAAAAAAGAAAGAAGCAAATAAAAAAATTTTAAGCGAATGTTTGTTTATACGGTCATGAATAAATGAAAATGGCCAGGCAACATTCTGCTCAACTTGTTTTACATCTGATCGTCCAGTAACGTTCATAATGATTTGAAACTAGCCGAAACTGAACTGCCTTTTAAATCATAAAAGAATTTATTTTACACTGCTAAATATTTCTTGTTAAAGAATTTAATGTATTCATTTATTTTTATTTATTTATTTTTGATCAATTTTAGAAAAAGACAGAGGAAGGGAGAAAGAGAGAGAAATTGGTTTGCTGTTCCACTTATTTATGCATTCACTGGTTGATTCTTGTACCTGTCCTGACTGGAGATGAAAAGTGGAACCTTGGTGTTAATACCAGTATATGGGGATGATGCTTTAAAAAACTGAGCTACCTGGCCAGGGAGAATTTAAAGTATTCTAATTCTTTTCAAGGTAGTACTCCATGTTACAGTTAGAAAAAAAAACAAAAAAACAAAAACAAAAACAAAACCGGAGCCCCTTCTACCTCCTCACCTCAAACAAATAAAAAAATAGAAAGGAAAGTAATTCTATAACTCACATGTAACAAAAGAAAAAATAGATAAACTGGACTATGTGTATCAAAGAACACTATCAACATAGTGAAAAGACAACCCACAGAATGGCAGAAAATATCTGTAAATTTGTATCTGATAATATACAGCACACATAAAGAACTCTTACAGCTCAACAATAAAAAGTCCAATTAAAAAATAGGCAAAGAACTGGAACACACATTTCTCCAAAGAAGAGATAAAAGGCCATTAACCACATGAAAAGATGTCCACCATTACTAATGCCATTGCAAATCAAAACCAGAATGAGATACCAATTCACACCAATTAGGGTGGCTGTTGGAAAGAAAAACAGTAAGTATTGCCCAGGCTGGGGAGATACTGAATCTTGCTCCCTGCCTGGGGAAATGCAAAACGGTGCAGCTGATGCAGGAAAGCAGAATGGAAGTTCCTCAAAAACAATAAATAGAATGCCAAATTATCTGGTGACTCCACTTCTGGGTATAACCCCAAAAGAATTTAAAGCAGAGACTCGAACAGATACATTCTTGTACAAGCACGTTCATAGCGGCAATATTCATAGCAGCCAAAGGCGGAAACAACCTAAGTGTCCATGAACAGATAAATAGATAAACAAAATGTGGAGTATGCATACAATGGAATGTTATTCAATCTTTAAAAGGAAGGAATTCTGACATAGGCTACATCATGGATGAACTGTGAAGATATTACGCTAAGGGGAATATGCCCATCCCCAAGGACAAATCATGCATGATCCACTTATATGAGGCACCTCCAGTGGTCAAATTCAGAGACAGAAAGTATATGGTGGTTTCCAGTAGCAGGGAAAAGGGGTTACAGAGTTACAGTGCATTGGGTACAGGGACTCAGTTTGGAAATTTGAAAAATATTCCGGAGTTGATGTGAGTTGTGATAGTTGCACAACAATGTGAGTGTAATTAATGCCACCGAACTGCACGCCTAAAACTGGATAAGAGGGTAAATTTTAAGTTCTGGGTATCACTATATACATATGAAAATTAACTCTTGCATTCAACCTTCAACTCACTGACTTATCCTACTCCTCAGTTTTTCCTATACTTGTTTGAAATTCATGTTTTTAATTCATTTTCCTAACTTTGAAAAAAGTAACAGCACTTTCTCAAAGTCAAGATTCAAATGTACTCACCTATTCTGGATTCCTGCAGGATCATTTTTTAGATCATAGAAAATGGCACCAATAACCAATCCCAGGATGACTGTTACAATTATCTTTTCAGAAAAAAAAAGACAAGCAAAACAAGATTTTCAATTAAAGGTAAAAACTTTATACACCATTTATTGTTATAATAAGCAAATCATTCCATTGAGATAGATACTTTAAATGATTTGGCCAAAGTCCTTGGGAAAATATAAAACAGTGCATTTATTAGACTGCCCTATCAATTAAAATAAAAATCAGTTTATCTGTGTGCTGGGGAGACTGAAAGAGAATGAAGTAGACCACTGGGAAAGCTAAGATGCCTCCCAGGCCTCCCCAGGTACTGCCAGTTCAGGGTCCTGTTCAGGCCTCTGGGCCTGGGAACGCCAGATAGAGCAGAGAACAGTGCAGTGTCTAGCAAAGCTGTTGGGGAGTAAAATAAAGTCAAGTCACTAAGAGTTCTGTCCTGCATTCTCAACTTTTGTACTAGAGAACATGCATAATTGTGTAATATTTCAAAAGGTTCAAGTGAAAACAGAATATCTCTACTCTTAACATTAAAAATCAATTTTTAGAGCACACATAAAATGTATAAACTACTAGAATGTACGATAAGGAAGTAGAGGCACATCACTTTTTTTTAAGATTGATAAAATGTCTCTTAATGATGCTTTTATAAGAGAAGGGTTAAGGACTGTATTTGGATATAATTTATTTAAGAAAATTCTACTTATTGTACTTTTAAATTGTATTTAAATATAAAAATATAAGAAACGGTAATAAAAACATTAGCTATCCCACCATGTACCTTGGAATCTTCAAAGTTAAAGTTTAAAAAATTGGACACTCCCAATGCTTTGTTTATTTTGCATTCAAACTTGATATCTTACCCTAACAGATTAGCAGTATTATCATTAGGATGTTTCCTAAAGGTCGCAAAGTTCTAAAAGTATTTCCAAAGTCAGCTTTCAAACATATTGATAAAATAATAAATTCTGCAATATTATTGTATTTTTACAAGGTGCTTTCAGGTTATTCTTTCTTGTACTAAAAAAAAGCAGACAAACACTGTATAGGAGATGCCATCTGTGTATCTGGCCTCTGTTCAGAACAGAAAATAAAATAAAATAAAATATTCCCTAATATGTGACTGCATCTTTGTTCAAATGTGTTTACCAACATTTCTCAAAGTGAGTTTTGAAGGATGTTTATGGTTATCACTACAAAAATTGATCCATAGTCAAATGTTCAATATACTAAAAGAAACAATGAATCTCCAAGAGATATGATAATGTTTTCAAAACTGATTTGATCAGAAAACAGGCAGTACATTAAATCTTCTTAAACAGACAACCTATTTAATCCAAGAGCTTCCAAACATAAACTTTTGTTAAATGCATTATCACAAGCAGTCTGATTCAAGTAAATGATTAGTTCAAACCTCAGCACAGCTATAACACTACAGATACAAGATATCATCAGGAAACCATAAAATATTTCTTAAAAATATATTTTATTGATTATGCTATTACAGTTGTCCCATTTCTTTCTTCATTTTATCCCTGTCACCCTGTACCCCTCCCCAGCACTCCCCCCTTAGTTCATGTCCATGGTCATGTCCGTAAGTTCTTTGGCTTCTCCAATTCCCATACTATTCTTTGCCCCACCTCTGCCTTTTTTTTGTACCTATCAATTATTCTTCTCATTCCCTGTACCTTTTTCCCATTCTCCCCCCTTCCCCTCCCCACTGATAACCCTCCATGTGATCTCCATTCCAGTGATTCTGTTCCTCTTCTAGTTGTTTGCTTAGTTTGTTTTTATTTCTGTTTAGGTGCAGTGTTGATAGTTCAGTGTTCTAGGACCCTGTGGGCCCTTCCAATGGACTCTCCTATAAGACTGGGTATTTATTCCACCACCCCAATCCCCATAGGTTTTTACAGCCAGAGGTCTTGAGGCTTTATTTTCCTGTGCTGGAACCCTGGGATGCATGGTCTGTCTCACTCCCTAGTTGTTTCTGCCAGTTTATTTGCACATGAACTTAGGGTCACCCAGTCTGCCAGCAGCTTCCTCGAAGCCCAGCTGCCTTTCTTCACCATTGCTACTGGTCTGGATGAATGTTTCTTCTTTAACTCCTTGGTTGTAAGACTTTCATACAGTTTGATTTTCTGGCAGTTCTACTTGTCTTTTTGTTTTGAAATTGGTTGTTATCCTTCTTTTGGTTCTGTGAGGAAGTGAAGTATACCTACCTATGCCTCCTTCTTGGCCGGAAACCTCCATAAAACATTTTTATAGATATTACATGTTCAAACATTTAGAGAAGCAAATGACATACAGTCAAGTTTGAAAGCCCAAAACCAGTAAGCTATGGCCCACAGGCCAAATAGGGCCTGTCACCTATTTCTTTTCAGTCCATGAGATAAGAACAATTTTTACCATTTATTAATGATTGAAAAAAGAGAGAAACTTATGAGAAACTTGTTCAAATACTAAAGAGTATTTGAAATTTATATAAAATTCAAATTTCAGTGTCCATGAATTATTTAACTGGAGAACAACCATGCTCTTTTGTTTATGTGTTATTATGGCTGTTTTCTCCCTAAAATGGCAGTTGACTACATGATACACAGAATATATGGCCTCCAAAGCCTAAAATATTCACTCTCCTCTTTACAAAAAGGATTGGTTTACCTGTGACATAAGCTCGTATTCCGATATTCACAAATCTTAACAACAGTGGAGCCCCCTAAGCAGATGCTCATGGAGATGCAAAGTTCTGCAAGGTTCTATCCTTATTCTATGAAATTGCCAGGGCTCCGAACATTGCTGGAATTCCTTCAGTGGAATAAATTCAGTGAAGAGTCTGAACATGTGACCTGCAGGTACTAGGCCTGGGGTTTGCAGCTGAAGGAAGCCTAGCACCAAAAGCTGCAGGACTATGGTATATTAGAAAGAGTTTCACACTCTAATCACACCTTGACCAGAACTATAATATATGTGGCTTGGACATGACACTCATAAGCCACTTTTAGAGACAAGAGAAATTGGAGTTCTTTTCCAAGTCAAAAACGTGACGCATAAATCACACTACAGAATGAAGTCCACTACACCATCTCACTGGTGATCAGTGAGCAACCACGTTCACCTGATTCACCAGACTTGTTTCCAAATGACATCAAATCCACTCTAAAAAAATAAAAATTTACCCTTGATAGGTGCCACACAAAACTACTAATGCTCTGACAGAAATGTCAAATAACAAGTATGAACAAAATTTGGAGCAATTAGCAGTACATCTCAAAGAGGAATCTAGACTCTCAGTATTAACACTTAGAAGGCAACAATGCTGAAGTATGGAAATTATGCTATACATGTTAATATGTCAGTAATGGTTCACTAGAAAAGGTTCATTAAATGACCCAACTATGGGTCACTTTTTAGTAGTCAACAGAAATTCAATGACTGGTAATAAAATTAACAACCTCAAAAATAACTGGCTTTATCCTTAGAAATGATGGACCACCAAACTGAAAATACCAGGGTCTTGTATGACGGTGGAATTGAGAAAAACAAAAACCATACAGGAGGAATAGTCAACAACTCAACAGCTTCAGCCCGAAAAAGAAAAGCACATGATTTCATCTTAATGAAGAGAAATTTCATCTGCAAGTGAACAACAGCCTTACTGTAGAACACAAGTCAAGCTTGCTCACCACCTTTGTGTTCCTTGCAAACTGACTGAGGTGCCTGGTGTCTCCCAGATCAGAACCCCTAAATGCAGAAGGCCAGATAAGGAACAACCTTTGCACACAGGCTCTGCCCTCACATGCTCAGGTGCACTCACTGACATCCAGGTGAAGGCTTCCCTGACCACCTGACTTAAAATGCAAACCAACCCCTTACCCTCTCTCCTGCTTTCCCCTCTCATTTCCTTCTCTTTCTCTCTCTCTCTTCCTTTCTCCACTTCCCTGCTGAAAGGTTCCCCAAAGCCCATTTTTCCTTCTGCCACACTATACATTTTATGTCTGTAGGAATGTGTCAGCTGTCCCTCCTCATAAGAAAGTTTGTTCCAGAAGAGCAGGGATTTTTGTTTTTACTCATTTTGTTCACTGCTGTGTACAAGCTCCCCGATACAGCGCATGCTCAACAGGGACTTGTTGAAAGAATCAGGAAATGAACATGTGCAGCTACCAGAAAACCACAAATGTGATTTAAAAATTCTTTACTTCACCATTTTTGAATTAAAAAATTTCTGTACAAAAGTGGTCTATTACAGCTTGTCTAAAGCAATAAAAAAATTTTAATTAGGTAGTCCAAAAAACTTAAAATTTTTTCCTGTATATAACAACTTTGCTTTATTTGTTCTATTGACTGTTTCTATATTCCAAATACAGTGAGGATAAATAATGGAAGAATGGGTAGAAGATAACCATAATCCTAAAATAGATTATACCAGAATCTAATGTTCACGTGAACATTTCACAGCACAATCAGAAGAACCAGTCAGGTTACCTGAGCTATGGAGGCCTGGGGATTACCCAGCAAGTTTTTGAATGAACGCTTGGAAACCCATCTGACTTGATGACAGAAGGAGGTGGCGTAGGTGATCTCCTTGAAGGCCACACTCTTCTTCTTTTTCTGAACCTCTGAGAGTTGATTTAATTCAACTTTCATTTCTCTGAAGAAGGCAGAGTTGACATAAAACTCAGCTAATTTTTCTATGATTGGCATATCTCTCTTGGGAGATTCTTCAGTTTCCTTGGCTTTGGGATAAAAGTAGACAGAGGAAAATTTTAATAAAATAACTGATCTGGCCATTTTCCTGGAACTCCTTCCTTAAATACTTCCCTAACAGTTAATTCTAACTTGAATGTAAAAATTATTAGATCTGTCATTGCTTTACACATTAGAGAAAAAAAATTCATTCATACCTATAAGAATACTGCAAACCTACTGACCTTTCCCTGACTATAATATTTGCACCCTGTTTCTTTTAAAATAAACTTACCAGAGGAAGTTATAATTCTTAATAGAAAAGCTTTGTCCTTGCTTTCTACTATGTACAAATGCATAGATTGATAAGTTTTTTTTACCTAAAATACTACATAAACCATGAGCATATTTTTAAATGTAAACTTCCCTTAGAACTGACACTATCATATATATGACCATTTATAAATTAAATTAGAAATTCTTACAGCATGGACAACAAAATCTGTGTTGACTGGTGCTATACACTAAATGTGTCCCCCCGAAATTCATATACTGAAAGCCTATCCCCAATATGATGGTATTTGAAAGTGGGGCCTCTGAGGAGTGGTTAGGTCATGTGGGTGGAGCCCTTGTGAATGAGATTAGTGCCCTATGAAAGAGGCCTTAAGAGCCTCCTCCTCACTTCCATCACGTAATGAGGCAGCAAGGAGAAAGTGGTGGTCCACCTATGAACCAGGAAGTGGTGCCTGAGCAGATATAAAAATTTGTTGTTAAGTCACCCAGTCTGTGATATCTTTGTTACAGCAGCCTGAACAAACTAAGACAGCTGGTATCTGAGGGCAGCAGTAGTTATATAAATTCACAAAGCCACATTTCCATGAGCTATCACACTGCTCAACGCCAGGCAACTCAATTAGGCAATAATCTGTGAATCTTGACAGATGCGCATACCTTCACCATCTTCGTCCTCTCTGTTTAACACCACAGCAGAGGAGTCTCCATTGATGACATCGAGGAAGAAGTCTGCAGGGTTATTATAGGGCTCACAGTGGTGACCTTCAAAAGAAAGTAACTAGGTACACAAACGTGATGGTCTTACAAAATAAAGGCTCATTTTAAGGGGTGAGGAAGGTGAGGCCGGGAGAGGCAGAATCTAATGCCTTCTCCCTCTCTTCTTTCTCTCTTCTCCCCTCACTCTTTCTTTTTATATATTTCAATCACACAATATGTCAACAATACTGTCTCATGGCAAAAATCATACCCCAAACCAACCTTGAACTCTCAGAAAGCCTTACCCAACATAATTCAGGCAACCTAAAATAACTATCAATATGCTCTGGTGCTTATGAGCAAGTGTTCGAAAAAAATAAATATCAGTCCAGGAAAAAAAAAGTTGGAAAAAAAGAGAGCTGTAGGTAGGATTAAAGCTCCTCAAAGCAAGGTAACAAGTAAAGTCAGCCCAGGTGTGCTCTGTTCTCTGGGTTCACCTAGATACTGCCAGAATACCAGTACCTACTTTAGCAATGATTACTCCTCCACCTACTAAATTAAGGTTCGTATTATCATCTGTTAAGGCGCTATAATTTCAATAGAGAACAAGTAACCAGAGCAGCATTATTTAGAGAAAGTGACCAGCAAAGCACACCTGAATGCTTTACCTTCACTTCTGCCTGGTCATCTGAACTCAGCTTGGCCTATAGTTTGACTCTTAGATTCATCACCCCTAGACTCCACAGACCCAGGTACGTTAAGTAATAGAAATTAAACAAAAACAAAATTTCAAAGACAGCTAGTGCCCTGGCCAGGTAGCTCATTTGGTTAGAGCTTCACCCCAACACCACAAGGTTGTGGTATTCAGTCCCCGGTCAGGGCATCAGGACATGTACAAGAATCAAACAATAATCTCTGGCTAGTGTGGCTCAGTGGACTGAGCACTGAACTGTGAACCAAAAGCTCACTGATTCGATTCCCAGTTAGAGCACATGGCTGAGTTGCAGATCAGGCCCCCCAGTTGGGAACATGTGAGAGACAACCAATTGATGTTTCTCTTGAACATAGATGTTGCTCTTTCTTCCTCCCTCCCTGCCCCTCTCTCTAAAAATAAATAAATAACATCTTTTAAAAAAGAATCAACCAGTGAATGCATAAATAAGTGGAACAACAAATTGATGTTTTTCTCTTTCTCTCTCTAAAAATAATCAATAAAAATATCAAAGATAGCTAAAAAATATTTTAAACTATATTTAGGGTCATAGAGCATCATCTATAAAAATATCCATATATCTCTAAAATAAAGCAGACTGCATGAGCCATAAAAAATAATTATACCTTTTCCTCTGAAATAGAACTAGGCAGACCAGAACTGTTAGAAATGTTGACCCATTAAAGTCAGACTCAGGAGTAGCCATTCCATTGACTGGTAAGTCACTCATATCCACCCAGGGACTAAATCTGCAATCTAATGTTACTGGAAAATTAAGCAGCATTTCCATGGACCCTCAACATCAAGGCAGACCAACATCCCACGCAACAGAAAAAATAATAATATAGCCTTATCTGTTATATGGCCAAAAAGATAAATAATGTGGGGTACTAGGTCTTTCCAAAAATGTTCAGTTAGACTGATAACTGATCATAAGACCAATATATTTATTGAACTCTTCAGAAAAGGGAACCAGAACTGGGATGCAAAACTAATATGGGTCCAACAGAAATAGTCCTATGCGCACACAGAGTATGTGTTCATACTGAAACAGTACAAGAAAGAGTCCTAAACAACAAGACGGGGTGCAAAATGAAGACAAATTCTAACATCAAACTGACCAAGGGTGTTCTGGAGTGCTGGAACCCATAACATGTGTATGCAAAGCTCAAACTGCACTCCCATCCACTTCCTCAGCTCTTTTTCAGGACCCTGTTAATGAAGGATCTCACTGCACAAAGAGGCAGCCTCACCAGCTGATGCAAAGTACTCCAAAGCCTCATGAGCAGGCCCATGGAACATTAGTTTTCCTGAGGCCAACAGCGTGAGACTATCAAACAACTTGAAGATGGAAAAACGAGGCTGATGAATGGAGAAGATGATAGTTCGTCCACCTTTAGACATCCTAAGGTAAAGGTAAGAAAATAATGAGTCATTACACGTATGAATGTTGCACTTCTTAGCCAGAAAACAAACAAAAACAACTTTATTCCTGCCTTTAGATCATTTACTCCCAGTTTGACTTGATTTTCTCTTACTAAATTCTCATCCCATGTCATCTCTGAGAGAGTATAGGGTACCTAAATTCAATGCACTTATGAAAAGATTATGGTTTTTTAAAGTATGCCCATGAACAATACAGAATCAACTACCACATTAATTAAAACCAGATTCCTGGATAGTTATCCCAGACCTACTGAGTCTGTGAAGTCCACATTAGCTACAGTTGCCCAGGTTACTTGTAAGTACACTCAATTTGGGGATTTCTTATGGACTAAATATTAACGCAATGGTTCTATGCCCCAGTCTCATTAACCAATGAAGTCTTCAAATCTTTAGGAACTAGTGTTCATTCTTCTGTCCTAATAATACATTTAACAATACTGAGTGCTTACTATGTGTTTGCTAGATACTTTATAAATACCTGTATCTGAATTTTCACAATATTGTTACAAGGCAGTCATAAAGCAACAGCATTACAACTTTTATTTTACAGATAATGTCTAGAGGGTAAACAACTGACCCAAGTTGTTACCATTGGTAAAGGCAGGACTGGGATGGCAGGGCCCATGGCCAAAACATGGCTAAACCACCTCTACACAAGTTTTACTACTTATGAGTATAAGAAACAAAGTCTAAAATCAGTGTTGAAAATAGTTATTATTAAATATATTTCATGAGATGAATCACTTCAACTGAAGCATTTTCTAAAGCATCTACTATATGCTAGCACTGTGTACTACCTCAAAGAAGATCAGGTCAGAAAACTAATCATTTGAGTACAGTGTAGAATAGAAGTAGCTGAGGATTTTTTGTAAGCAAAATGGGAGACTATACTCCCAGTCTGAAGATGATATGAGATAGCATGGTGAGAGGGCCAATAGGAATAAGCCACGAAGAAAGAGAAAGAGTAGTCAAGGTGAAGGAACATGGAGAACAGAGTGTGCAATGACAAGGTTTGTTCAGGAAAATGCAAATAGTTCAATGTCATTGCAGAGTTGGGTTGAGTGGTGAAGAGAAGAGAAGCTAACAAATGAGACTGCCTAAAAAAAAATCATCCTGTGATGAATCCCTTTGTTGAGAAGCTGAGACTTCAGTCAGTGGGCAACAGGAGCCAGGGAAGGACTGGAAGCAGGGAAGGGGACTGTTATAAGAGCCACGCTGCTCTAAGTCTGGACTGAGCACCAGGGAGACATCAGTATCTCCCATCAAAATGGAGAATCTTGGCCTCCACCGCAGAGCTGCAGAAGAAGAATCTGCATTTTAGTGACACATCAGAGGATCACTATGTACGGTGGAGTTCGAGAAAGATTGGGTTAGAGCTCTCTAGCATGAGGAAAGATGCTTGTATGCTAACTAGTCCAAAACATGGTAAAAATATTTATAGAATTATCAGTTCACTATTTTCTAATGAACACTGTCAACATAGTTATAAATGATTTAAAAAAATACCAGGGATATATTCTCTAATTAAACTTGAATCCCAGACCCTTTACTTGGCACCTTCATTTTTATGTGCAATTGACACCTCAAACTTAAGAGGTATGAATCCTCAGACGTCATCCCATCATCATGTTTCTTCTCATCCCAGTATAGGGGCTTGATTTCGAGAGCATGGGCATCAGAGGAAGCAAGGTAATCATAGTGAGGGAGCGCCATATGAAGGCAATATTTCTGGTATCTTTTAAAAAAACATGGGGCAGGAAAGGGGAGGTTCCCAGGAACAGTGAGCACAGGGAATGGCCAAAGCGATCGGTTATACTACACAAATAAGTTAGATGACTGTGCAAGTAAGCAAATACATCAAGATAATGAAAACCAAAAGTCTCACTGCCTGAAAAGTCACACACACAGGAAGGGTAAAGACTAAACAAAAAAAATCAGGTATAAGTTTGGAATTGAAATGGTTACAAACTCACGGAAAACTTCTTTATAGTAGAATATGAACTAATATATGAGGAAAGAATGATGAAAATAGAAAATCACCACTTGGCAACAAAATCTCTACTGTGTCACACTGGTGGACAGGGCAGCAGGGGTTAGTATAAGCCAACACTGGTGTGTGGAGATTCGATGAGGAACAGGGTATCGGCATAATATCTGACTCTCTCCCCTGACTGAATACTAATCAATTACAAAGGGGAGCCAGTCATTTCATAGTAAAGAAACCCACCAGAAACAAACTTGACCAGGTGATGATGGTTGACACCATCCATGGAGGGAGAAGTCAGAACCACAGAGCCCCTGATATGACACAGCAAGTACATAGTATCACCCCTGTGTTGTCCCCGCCAAGAATTCATGACCTGATCTAGTCATGAGAACACTCACTGGTGGGATGGAGGTACAGGATCACCCTACTAAATGCACTCTCAAAGACCAGTGAGAAAGACTAAGGAACTGCTCATGCTTAGAAAAGAGGATTTCTGGAGAAGATCCCGAGACAGAAAGGAAAAACAGACAATTCTGGGGCAGGCGCTGAAGTCTGGCTGGAGTCTATGGATGGGGTAGCAGCAATAGTATCAATGTGACTTCCTGGCTGGGAGGTGAATAAGGTGATAATGTACAAGGAGTTTCCTTATTTTTGGAGTTACTCTCCAGAGTATTTAGAGGTGACAGGGAATAATGTTTAAAAAAAACAGTGATGTGGGTGTGGAGGAGGAAGAGGACAGAGGAAGAGCAAAAACATTAAATACTAAAGAGCTGCAGAATCTTGGTAAGGGGACATAGGACTTCTTGGTATAAGTCTCGCACCTTTTCAATCTGTAAGATTGAAACTTTTAAAAGATTAACGTAAAAAATATGTCAAAAAACTTAACTTTTGAAATTTCATTTCACATGATTGTCTCAACTCTTCTTTCTTGATAAAAGGAAACGCCTTTCCCTTTATTCCCTTCTCCCATTGCCCACTCCCCAAACCTCACAAGTCATCATCTCAACACTCACACCCACATCCCATTCACAACCTAACACTATTGGTCCTATCTTCAGAATAAATTTGGAACCCACCCACTTCTTGCCACTTACCCCTACCATCCTAGTCAAAGCCACAGTCATATCTCAACTGAGCTACTATAACCAGCCTCCTGGCTGGTTTCTTTTCACTCATCCTTGCCCAGCTGTACAGTCTGAGTATATCTCCCAGTGATGTTGAAACCAAGCATTTAAAAAAGAAAAAATATATGTTTTTGAAGAGTCAGGCTTGCATTAAAAGGCTATTTGCCGACCTTTATTTGAAAGCTTTCAAATGCTGTATGTCATTAAAGTGCACCATGTCCTGCAATGTTTATTATTTTTCATCAAAGAATTCACTGGTATGGAACAGGCAACGTGACACAAGGCAAGTGCATGGCAAATTGAGACTTAGTGCCTTATGTCAGAACACAGCGACATGTCACCACTGCCTCCCACAGGGGGCGGAGTGTGTCTGTGTGTGAGACAATACTGTGCTGGGGTGTGAGTCTGAACCTTCGCCAAATCAGTTTGTTTTCATAGCATTTGTTGGAAAGTTGTAATTTGAACATATATAATTACTTCATACAACTTTAAAAACAGTTCTATGTTTAGGTGATCTTAACTACCCCGTAAATAAAACTGCTTTGCAATAGGTTTATTTCTTTTCCCTTTCATGCAATTTTTTAAACATCTTTTGGTGGGTAAATGTCACCATGCTCATTGATAAACCATTGGTTATTGTTTTTAAATAGCAAATTTCTCATTATTTTATTTTGGGTCTTAAAAAGATGTGACTTCTAAGACAGCCACCATTAGGTTTTAAAAGCTGAAGTTCCACTTCCAGCCAAGATGGAGATGTAGGTAGACACACTGTGCCTCCTCACACAACCAAAATAAGGACAAAAAATGTTAGAAACAAAAAAACAACCAGTACTGACAGAAGACTGAACCGTATGGAACTCCCACCACCAAGGAGTTAAAATAGACATATTTATCCAGACCAGTAGTAGAGACAGAGTCAGGTGGCCTGGCAGAGAGTTCGCAGAAAAAAAAAAGTGGTGGCTGGTGGACCACGGGCACACAAGGTGGCAGCAGGCAGACCCAGAGAGGTAGTGGATTGTGGAGGGGCACAGCATGCAAGGCGGCTGGCCAACCAGGCAGTCCCACATTCACACGTAGAGATAAACCAGGCAAAACTGAAGAACGAGACAGACAGTGCAACCCAGGGTCCCAGTGCTGGGAAATAAAGCCTCAAAACACTGACTGAAAATACCTGAGGAGGGTTGAAGTGCTGGGAGAGACTCCCAGCCTCACAGGAGAATTTGTTGGAGAGACCCACAGGATCCTAGGATGTACACAAGCCCACACACATGGAAATCAGCACCAGAAGAGCCCAGTTTGTGGGAAGTGGCAGAAGGGACTGAAATCCAGCAGAGATTTGAGCAAACGCCATTGTTCCCTCTTGGACCACCCCCCACATACTGTGTCACAACCCAGTGACTTTGGTTGACCTGCCCTGGCGAACACCTAAGGCTCCACCCCTTACTAAATAACAGGCACACCAAGACAAAAAAATGGCCAAAATGAAAGAACGGATCAAAGCTCTAGAACAAATACAACTAAGTGACAAAGAGATAGCCAACCTATCACATGCACAATTCAAAGCACTGGTGATCAGGATGCTCAGGTTGAATTTGGTTGCAAATTAGATGAAAAAATGAAGACTACACTAAGTAAAATGAAATGAAATGCACTGGGAACCAATAGTGATGGGAAGAAAACTGGGACTCAAATCAATGGAGTGGACCAGAAGGAAGAAAGAAACAACCAAACAGAAAAGAATGAAGAAACAAGAATTCAAAAAAATGAAGAGAGGCTCAGGAACCTCCAGGACATCTTTAAATGTTCCAACATCCGAATTATAGGGGTACCAGAAGGGGAAGAGGAAGACCAACAAGTGGAAAATTTTTTTAAACAAATAATAAAGGAGAACTTCCTCAATCTGGCAAAGAAAATAGACTTCCAGGAAGTCCAGAAAGCTCAGAGAGTCCCAAAGAAGTTGACCCAAGGAGGAACACATCATAATTTCATGAGCCAAGATTAAAATAAAGGAGAGAATTCTAGAAGCAGCAAGAGATAAGGGGACAGTCACCTACAAAGGACTTCCCATAAGACTGTCAGCTGATTTCTCAAAAGAGACCTTACAGGCAAGAAAGGGCTGGAAAGAAGTATTCCAAGTTATGAAAGACAAGGACCTACATCCAAGATTGCTCTATCCAGAAAAGCTTTCATTTAGAATAGAAGGACAGGTAAAGTGCTTCTCAGATAAGGTCAAGTTAAAGGAGTTCATCATCACCAAGCCCTTATTATATGAAATGTTAAAGGGACTTATCTAAGAAAAAGAAGATAAAAAACATGTATAGTAAAATGACAGCAAACTCACAATTATTAACAATCACACCTAAAACAAAAACAAAAACAAAAACAAGCTAAGCAAACAACTAGAACAGGAACAGAACCAAAGAAATGGAGATCACATTGAGGGTTAGAAACAGGGGACTGGGAGGAGGAGAGAGAGGGAAAGGTTACAGAGAATAAGTAGCATAGATGGTAGGTAGAAAATAGACAGGGGGAGGGCAAGAATAGTATGTGAAATGTAGAAGCTAAAGAACTTAAGACACAGGAACATGAAACAAAGGGGGGGAATGTGGGTGGGAGAGGGTGTGCAGGGTGGAGGGGAGTGAAGGGGGGAAAATGGGACAACTGTAAGAGCATAATCAATAAAATATATTTTTTTAAAAAGCTGAACTTCTAAAGCACGTGGGGAGACCTGCTCTGCTGGACAAGATACACACAGCAGTTGTAAGGAGATGAAGTCCTGGGAAGACACATTTTTCTTGTGTATTGAAATATAAAATCATTGTATCTGTATCACTGCTGATGCAACTGTTTTTGTAATTCTTACTGTGGTATACACAGTATTGTCAAATAATTGAATAAAAGCAGCATTTTCTAATGTAAGTGCTCTGAAAATGTTGGTACTGTATACAATAAGGAACTAAAAAAAAGAGAATTTCTTTATAAAAATTGTATATTTATTTTTACATGTTTAAAATTCAGCTACTTTTAAAATACTTTCCATTTGATGCAATACACCTATAGAAAATTTTTTCTACTGCTCAAGACATTTTTTGAACTCATTGATTTCAATGTCTTTTAGTGCTTCTGCCATTTTTTTTTTCACCTCTTCTGTTAAATGGACAAGAGGTTTCCCTCTGAGGACTTTTTTCATCCATGGAAACAAAAAAAGTCACTTGGGGTGAGATCAGGTGAATAGGGAGGGTAGAGAACCGATCTGCCTGGCAATGGCAACTGTAGCTCAGCCCTATTGGAAACTCCAATAGGCGCATTGAAGCAAGCAGGAACCAAACCCACAGATTGGTTCTCCCATAAAAAATCAGACTTGCATTATACATAGGCTGCTTTGAGACTTGCTCTTGTTAAAACTCCCTCACCCTGAGTTCAGGCAGAAAAAGCCTACTGCATATTTTTATAGTAACTGTCTTAAGTCTGTGCTAATTCTTCCAAGGACTAAAGTGTAACCAGACCTATTACTCTTATTGTTCCCTTGCATTTACAACATATTTTCCTTGTAAATCTGTAAGAAGTAATCAGTAACATCCCTTCTGTTGCTATCTGTAAAAAGTAATTACCTAAAGCAAACCGAAGCATAATAAATGAAAACCTTCTTTGATGTATGCTATTAGAAAGCCAATATAAGCCTGTCAAGGCAAGGGTCGGAGCACTCTCCCCTTGAGAGAGTGGCTAGACCACTCCACAACACTCTCCTTTTGAGAGAGTGGTCATGCCCTTTTTTTCCACAGGACTTGGTAGTCTGTGTGAATTTGTCTTGTACCTCAACCACAATGCTGCAGACACTGCAGGCCTGTGTCTGGGTCAGTAGGGCCTGGCTGTCAGGCCTTGTTTTGGTCAAAAATTGTTGAACGCTCAGTGTAGTCTGGGCAGGTACACTCATAAATCCCCTACTGTGATGTGGGAAAACATATGGAAAGACTCTTCAAAAAGAAAAAAAGAATCCAGGAAACAGTGTTCTTACAAGAAGATTAGGGCACACATACCAAGGGAATATGAAGAGAAGAAACGGAGAAAACAGCTAAATGCCAAGGAGAAAGGCCTCAGAAGGAACAATCCTGATACCACCTTGATCTCAGACTCCTGGCCTATAAGACTGTGAAAAAAAGAATTTCTGTTGCTTAAACCACCCACTCTATGTTAAGCAGGTGAAGCAAACTAATTCACTAACCAACTCCCCACTCACCTTAGGTCACTGGGTTCTAGCCCCTCTGGCCTCCTGAGTTCCAAGCACATTAGGTACGGTCAGCTTCAGGGCCACTGGCTGTTCCCTCCAACTGGAACTCTCTTCCCCTAAGAACCCAGGTACCACTCAAAGCTCAAATGGCACATCACTGAGGGCTCCCCTGACCATCCTACTGTGCAATATGGCACACCCCATCCCACCACATCGGTCTTCCCTACACTCTTATCTTGCTTCATTCTTCTTCAAAAACTTATACTTGTGGACTGACGGTTCTGCTCCAAAATGAGAAGGAAGAAATGTGTGTGTCTTGTGCTCATTGTTCAATGCACTGAGCCAAGATTAATACCTGGCACAGAGCAGGCCACCAGACATTGCACAAATGCAAGAAAAATGTTCCCATAGCATTTACCTCTTTAGGAGTGAAAGGACAGCATTTGCTGTGCTTGAGTCTAAGCCAGTTGTGGGCTCATCCAGGAACAAGATGGATGGATTGGTAATAAGCTCCATTCCAATGCTCGTCCTTTTTCTTTCTCCTCCAGACACACCACGGGTAAACTGAGTTCCAACCTAAGGCACAAATGGTCTCATTATGAACGAGAACAAACACAGCCACTGTTGTTTGTTGAGCTCCCAACATGGGCTAACACTGTAAGAGGCATTTTATCTCACGTCCTCATTTATTCTGAACAACTAAGAAGTGAGTATCTGGGGGAAAAGATGGGTCTCCTTTAAATTAAACTGAGGCTCAGTTTAGAGCTGGTACGTGGCTAAGCCTGATATGATACTCATGCTTTACACAATTCTATATGTTCCTTGTCACATCAAATATTTAGTGTCAAGTCAGAAGTTAGAACTTACAGACATGGTTCTGACACAGTCAAATCAAAGTCCAAAAAGGGAGCTAAAGACAGGAGAGGAATAGGTGAAAGCATCCATAATGTGTTCACCTTCTACACACTTTCGTTCCTCCCCCACCAAAAAAAGTCCTGAAGTAAACTCAAGAACTGGGCCTTGGCAGTGAAGAAAGCCCATGTTCTCCCAACCAGAAATAAGTGGTAAATGATAGAAGCTCAGAATTCTTCTTCCAAATAAAATACAGCAAAATACACTTTATATAAAAGACTGTCAGAAAGCATCATGAAGCAACAGCCCACAGAACACCCCCATTTTCATTACCATTAAGGAAGGGATATTGCAGGGAGGTTAAACTAGAGCCGTGACAATCTGAAAAGTTCATCTTCACCCAAAGCTTCAAATGCCTTCCCAGCAAATCTTTCATGTCTCTTCATCAACTCTAAATCATTCACTCACTCTTCCCACTTCTTCTTCCTGATCACGCACGACCCACATGGTGACTTACTTTGCCTCTCCTGCCCAGAGCTGTTATCTATACAGCCTAAGGGGGCCCAGCACAAGCCAGTCTGTCAGTAGCATCAGCAGAAGGAAGGGAGGAAACAAAAGAGGGAGGGAGGGATGGGAGACAAAGTCCTGTACAGAAGGCTACAGGAACACAACGTGGATGCTACACCAATTTAAAAAACAAACGCTAATTTCACTGAGGATAATTTTGGAAGACAAAGTACAGCAAAATGAACATCCAGAGCCAAACTCCTGGGATTTTCATTCATTGTTTATGAATTCCAGAAATATACCTCCAAAGCAACAGAATGAAGTCCCCTGGAAAGACAGGAAGAAAAGCTACAAGGAAAAGAAGAAAAACAGAAAGCAAGAAAGTTAGTGGACAGATCTGAACAAAACACTTAGTGTGGGGGAGGAGCACAAGCTGCAATCACATGGAAGGGGCACCTGGCCTTTGCAGAGAATACGAGTTTGTGGGAGCCCACACTGTTATCCTTCACTTCCAGGATTCAATTGCTTTTCATTTTCTTTTCCTGGTTGCATTTTCTTTTCCTGGTTGACGTTCGCCTTTCTATTATGTAACTAGTCACTGTTTTCATCACTACAGAAAGCAGCCACTTTTGACCACACACATTATGGAAAACTTCTGAATAAGAGTCACACTGGCCTCACAGGGGAGGTCCTATCAGCTGGTGATGGTACCGCCCATTCTTTCCACCTTACCTTGGAATCTGCCACTTTAGCCAGACCTAGCTCCTGAATGACCACGTTTATCCGTTCATTTTTTTCATGATTCGTCATAGTTGATGGAAGGCGAAGAGCTGCTGAGAACTGTAAATTTTCTCTCACTGTCAGAGTTCCCATCACAACATCATCCTTAAGGCAATGGATTTTAACAAGACATCAGGTCTTTTCTAGTAATATCACTCTGTAGAATATATAACTTTATCCACAAAAATAACATAGCCAAGGGAATGTTCTGGCGAATGATGAATGTGTAATTATACAAATTGTACAAATAACTCCATACTTGGATAACTACAAGCCTCATGGAATAATTTTTATTCTCTATTTATACACCTGAATCGAACACCGGTAAGGATGATTACTATTAGCAGACATTTCCAGAATGCTTTAAACAAGGATTTGACAAAACATCTTCCTGTGATAGGGCAAGGAGAGAGGTGAATGTAGGGAAAAAAATAAAGCAGTCATATCTTCTGGGAATATGTCAAGTAGAATTGATATCTCTGCCCATAGAAGGGTCATATTCTATAACTAAAAGAGTTATCACTGTTCTTTCAAGGATCATATTCTAAATTTTCCCTACCTTTTCATCTAACATTACTCTTCATCTTAGGGGAGATCATAAAAAGATGGTATAAGGAAAATACTTTCTATGCCCAGTTTATGTAATCAACGGGAAGCACACTAAACTATCAGCAAAAGGGACTTGCCAATGTAAACTGTGAAATCTAAAATGCAATTCCACGAACACTTACCTGTACCACATAACCTGAGTTGCACTTGAAGTTGGCAGGTCGAGGTGCTCCATTTATCAAAACATCTCCAGATAATCCCTGTGGATCTTTCCTTGCAGCTAAGATATCTAACAACCTACAAAAACACAAATATGTTGGTTTTTTCTCCACTGAGACTATGTCTCTAAGCTACTCTGAATCCAAATTCTGCTCTAGTAAAAAATTAACTGATCAAGAAATTCCATGCTTCAACTATAATGACATACTTTAATTCTCAGCTTCCTTTTGTTAACTCTACACTATAATAAAGCCCAAAACATAAAAACAAAGCACGGTCAGCAGAGCCATCACCAGCTTCCCAACCAGCCCCCCAAGCTGTCTGGACTCTGGGCTCCCAGAAGGTAACGTGTTGCTTTAGCTGAGACTCAAGCCTTCCCTTATTCCTTTGGCTCCTTCTCCCCACTTTCAATGTCATGCCCTTCCTTTTCCACCATTAGCTGAAATCAATGCTGACAGGCGTATGCCAATCACCTATCATGTCCACTGTTAGTAGGGCTGACCTAATAAGACTTTCTACTCCTGAGGAAAGATACACAGCTGTCCTAACTACATATGGCCACAGGACCTAGAACGAGACTAGATGTGCGGCAAACATTCAACTAACACCTGCCCTCGTCAAAGCGATCTTTAAAGCACATGAAAACTGCAAGAGAAAGCTCCCTGATCCTCTCTGTTATACTCACGAAGATTTGCCTCCACCTGTGGGTCCCAGAATGGCGTTCAGGCCAGGTCTCATGATCCCACTGTCAATGCAGAAACAGCCGGTTTACTGGTTCAGCTGAAAACTAATTCTAAAAATGCAGGGTCTGCATTTAAGACACTCAGTGAAAGTTGTTGAAATGAGACAGAAAACCAGCATAAAACAACTTCCGGAGGAAAAAGAAACCAACTTGACAATTAATAAATGTCTAGTGTACAAATGATGTCATCACTCTTTAGCCCCCATAGGAAAAATGGCTCAGGTCCCTCTGCATTCCTTTCAGCTATTCTCTAAACCACTTACACGTTTTGGAAAAGGACACACAAACTTGCAAAGTTCCGGGCAGTAAAAGATTCTGCTAAAACATCTGTCACAGTAATTTCTCCTTTCACAATGTAAAGTGCACCAAAGGTCTTGAGTAGTGCTTGTTGATAACTATTTCAAGTCACCTCATTTGCTACCTACTCAGGACCGACATAATTAACTAGTCAAAGGAGTTCCAGAATCATCAGCATTAATGCTCTCACTGCTCAAATCTAGTCTGACCAAGAAACAGTGTATCTGCAGTGAAATTTAGCAACTAGAAAAAAGTACCCCAGGTAGTAAAAAGAAAACCTCACTAGTTCTTAAACCCTGACAAAATTCTTAATTCATCCGTCAAAGTAAAACACATGCCCTAAAATACATCACTTTCTTTCTTCTAAAGGTTCAGATAGACTGGAAAATTGTTGGGTTAGAAGTGGGAGATGCCATGTTCCACTGGGGAAGACATTTAAGGACGTACAGACATGATGTAGACACTGCACGTTCCAAAGAAATTACATGGGTGTTTGAGGGCAGAGGGTATTCAGACACAGAGCAAGAAGGTATAAAAAATAGGTCATAGTTGACTGTGCTGAGACTGAAGAAGAATACAAAAAATGTAGTGTGAGTTTTACCATGAAGGCAACCAGTAGAATGGTAGGGAGAACACACTGGGGCAAGGAGAACGAATGTCAGGCCCCTGAAGTTACACAGGCTTGAAGACTGAATGGAGGGCTGAGGAAGTCCTTTCAAGACCCTGGTGCCTAAGCCTCTCACTGTGGAATTGGTAGGTAAATCCACTTTATTTCCCAGAGAGCACAGTATCTACTGCAGTGGAATGTGAAAAGCAGGAGGCTATTTCATTCCCAGATAACAACTATCACTGAGGCAAATTCTGTGACACACAACAGTCGTGAGTGATCACCCTCACTGTGCAGCTGTGCACAGCACTTCCATCCGGGAGGACTCAGCATTTACTGCCTGTTGTGCTGCAGCTGGCAGAGTGTAACAGCTGAACGTGGCCATGGGGAAAGGAAACTTCTACTTGGCTCACTAACTGAGGCGCCTCTCACTGAAACACTGGACAAATACAAGGAGTTACGTGAATCAGGCACGAGCTGTAAAAAAGAAAACTATCTTATTCTTTCAGTGGCCTCTTCCCCTGATGCAATAAGACACGCTAATGGTTGGGTGAACTTTTGAGATGCATTTATCTATAGTTCTTAATGTACCTTCTGCAGTAATAGCTACCTCGTAACTGTTTCTAAAGTAACCACAGATAAGCTTGTTGTTCACTGAGACTTCATTGCCAGAAAACCTTTCCAGGCTTTTTAAATATCTACTCAGAAAAAGGCTCACCATCCCTAAATGATTAACCCAAAACTGATTGTGAAAAGCTGGTGTAAGGAAAACAATTCAAAGACAAAGCATTTTACAGGTCCCTGAGCTGGGCTTCCTCTGGTGCTTCACTCTAGCATTACAGAAAACAGTAATGGATGATCATAACCACAAGAGTTTCAGGATGGAGCCGTGGCTAATTGCCCCTCCATTCACTCAGCACAATTATTCAGTGTCTACTGTGTGTGTACATGGGTCACAGCTGAGAATTAAAGTGGTAGCCCTCGTGGACTTTGCATTCAAGTCCAGGGATCAGCAAACCACAGGTGGTCAAGTTTTCTGTTTTCAAAAATGAAGTGCTTTGATGCTACAATGCCAGAGGTAAGTAGTATTACACAAATGAAAATAATTTACTATCAGGGCGTTTGCTGACCTCTGTCATAATCCAAAGTCTACAATCCCCTTGTTGGCTCACCCCACTTTCACTCACAATGCATTCCCCACCCCTATTTATTGCTTTATAGCATTTACATGCATGAAAGTCTCCCTCAATCTATTGTCGAACCTTACCAACAATGTCATCTTCCTCCTCCCCCAGCCCCCAGAGCATGCACCACATGCTCTATAATGAAAACTAAATACATGAAGTGAAAACTAGCTACAGGATTCTTCTCTTGTCTACTGCATTTTCGTGAATAATAGTAAACTCATTTAATACTGAGAAAGCAATGTCCTCCCTATAGCCTAGAGCATTGTCTTTCCCCGCCCTGTCCTGAGCACACACACGGGTGGCTTTCCTTTCTCCCTCCCCCTCCCCTGGTGCTCCAGTTTAGGGTTAGGGTCTTCCATGTCTTCCAGCCCCTCCATCCCAGTAGAACAACACAGTGCAGTCTTTGCATTGTCTGAATCCTCCATTGGACTAGGAGATTGCTGAGAAGAGAGGGCATACCTCTGTCACTAGAACTGGGAACAATGTCAGGCTCCTAGTAGACATTCAAATTTGGTGAATAAATGAGTCTCCACATTTTAATAAATGACATCTACTTATAGAAAAGTCGAATGTTTTCAATAAAAACAAGTATCAAGAAGCACAAAAAAAATTTATGGAAAATAGGCATAGCCTGACTGGAAAGAACACTTAGTTACACTCCTACATAAATCATGTTCCGATAATACATCAGTCACTTCTATTACTTCCCTTTCTTTCCTTCTTTGTGTGAAGGTGGTGGACATGCTGGGAGGAGGAGCAGCGATGGCCAGCACGCAAAGTCACAGGTTGCAAAGGGAGGTGGGGGAAGAGAGGACACAGCTGGAGGGTGGCCAGGCTGCTTATAGTATAGAATAAGAAAATTCATTGGGAAAATCAGCAATAATGTTAGAATAATGAGAGGCAGATTTTTTGGGTTTTGAGATGTTTTACAAATGTGGAAATGTAGAAATAATCCCAGAGTATCAGATCAAAATTAGAACTCGTGGGTTTTAATCTATGTACACAGACATAAAAAGGTTCAGATGTGTGTGTACCTGTGTATGTACATATGTTCCCTGCGTCTGTCCCCTGAGAAGGCCTAGGGGCTGTGACATCCCAACAGCCATGAGCATTCCAAACACCACATCTTGCTTTGTAAATACAACACCCCACAGAAAGGAACATCAGCTCATTCCAGGTCTGAGGTGGGGTGAGCACACAGTGAGTCTGGATCCTCTGCTATGACAACAAAATACACAAGAGATGAAAGGATGAGTTTAAAAAAAGACAAACTTCCCTTGAAAGGTCTCCCAGTGACCAAATCTGAAACAACAGGAGTATCAAAATAAATAATGGTAATAATGCATTAGTATTGAGGGCTACTGGGTAAAATGTGAATCTGTGAGTCTATGCGGATATAAATAAATGAATGAAAGTGACAAATGAAGCTCTTTCCTCTTAGTAGAATGCAAACCAGTTTATATGAAAAAGAGAAATGAAAATAGAAATCACACTTTGGTAACGATCACAATGATATTTATTCCTGATTCACGCAAGAGACCTCAATGGGGGCTGAAGTAGGTGGGTTCCAGTTTTATGAAGAATAAGGTTTGGAGTGATATCAGGGTAACTTCCCTAATAATACTCATTAATTACAAAGGGGGAAATGGAGACATCGTGGTGAAGGCTGGCAGACACCAGCATGACGGGGTAATGAAGGTGAACATCCCTTAGGGCGAGACAGGAAAGTACCTGGTTGGATGAGACTAAGGAGACACGATGCGATGGTCAGTCTACTACGTGAAGAGCATGGTGACCAACAGCCCCCTAGGACCCACCACTGCACCTGTTACGGGGCTTTGGATCCCCTGGGCTGCTCCCAGACAATGACTGAGTGGTGATAGAGAGGAGAGGGCCCTTGTTTCTGGATGAAATACAGACTGGATGAATTAGGAATAACAGAGCGCAGTATGGACAGCTCTCAAATGGTTCAGAAAAATACTAATGACAATGAGTTCTCTAAAGAGATAAAATGACGAGCAAATGCAGTGAAATGTTTCCAGGTTTCCCAGGTGGGAAATCTGGATAAAAGTGTTATGTTTCCACCAGTTTGAAATTATTTCAAAATCAATTATGAACTTAAGAAATTTCTAGACAGATAAACAAATTTCCCTGAAGATTATAGGATATCCACATATCTACTGAAAAGACCACTTTCTCCCATAGATCTTCAGCGTTAGTGAGGAAAAGCTGAAGTGCTAGGTATGGGCACAAACTAAGCATAACTGAGTGATTCTTCATAAGGTAGTAAAATCTGAACCTTTTTTGAGTTCTCATAGTCAGATTTCATCTTCTTCCCCTCACAAGGACATCAGGTTCTAATTACTTAGTTCTACAAATGAGATTATGAAATTTCCAGATGAAAAAAAATCAAGATATTCATGGGCTTTTGTGGAATATAAATGATGGATAACCTTTCTCATTGAAGCCTAAACCCAAAATATGAATAAGCAAGACAATGCTGGTGCCCTACAAGACATCCTGGGGTAATCACGTAGAAAGGTATGTAAGTGTCTAATCACTATGTTGTCCACCTAAAACTAATATAATAGTATGTGTCAACTCAATTAAAAACATAAAAATTATTTTTAAATGACTTGGCAGTTTTCATGAACACAGGAATATACAAAAAGATGAACTCATCTATTGCTGAAATGCATACCACTAAACCATAAAAATATTATGAAGGCTTGAGCATATGATAATTTTAATGTATTGAGTTACTCATCTACTAGTTTTGAAACATAAGCAAGCAAAATTTATACTTGCCCAGTATGCATTTTAAATCCATTCATCCTGCACATATTCAAATTATTTGTTACCTTCCACTTAGCAGTCTGAAGTGACCAACATTTTCTTGATGATATGTTTCACAAAAACCTTGTCAGCTTTCAAAAAGGCCAGTCAAATTTACTAGGCATTTAGCAAAAAATAAAATTTTGTATTTACCATTTCTTTCCTTATTTTCCTAGTTAGTGTTTCTTAACCAATACAAGAGAGAAACAAGGAAGTAGGCATGACAGTGTGTGTTGCTACAGTGAAGAAAATTCCATCTAATTCTACAGAGCCCCGATCTCACCACAGTCCAGTCCTCTTAGGTGCCAGTCATTTCTTCCCCACCCACATGCTTCTCATTTCCTAACCTTCTGGGGGCAGTTGGCTGCTACTATCATAAGAGACCACAGTCCCATAAAATGTACAAAGAAAACATGAGAAACATCTGACTGAATATAGGTTAGAGACAATACCTGGTGAAAGCTTTTATAACCACCCCTCCCTCCAGTCTCAGAGAGTTAGAAAAAGTGCTTGTTTTACCTAGGAATAATAGTTACTTCTCCTATCACACAAACTAAACAAAACACATAGGCCATGGTGTCTGAGCAAACCTTGATGCACTCCCCCCTCCACAGTGAGGGAAAATCAGGCTCAATTTTCTAGATACCAGAACATGAACAATCCTAATGACTAGCATCGGTGAAAGAACAGAGAGCTCTGGTTCCCAAGTAGGTTCTGTTCTCATTTCCTTCCCCACTCTACGGCCCACTCCACCACCACGGGATGAATTTGTTGCTCAAGGAAGAAAATGATAATCAGTTTTGCGTTGATTTGGGTCCTAAACTCTAGCACATTGAGTTTTCAGTGCATAAACTTAAGTTTATGCTAAAGTTTTCTTTATTTAATTAGTTTCTGTCTGCCTGTATGTGGAGAAAAGCATTAGATAAATTGTTACAGGTGCTAAATGAGTATGTAAACTGGCCACTCATTTGAAACAAGTCTATTTGAAAACCAAAGTACTCTCACAGTATATTGTCATTTCAACCTCCTGACCCTTGCTTCTAGAACATAGTGCAGAAGTACCTGAAGTGTCTGGCTTATAGCGCACAGGACAGATCTTTTATTTCACAGATTGAACGAACTCGGGGGAGGAAATGGGAGGGAGGTGGGGAGCAAGCAGGGAGCTGGGAAAATAGACAAAAAACTGTACTTGAAAAATAACTAAATAAAATTAAAAAAAAAAAAAAAAGAAAACTGAAGCTCAGAGATTACACTTGTATCCCCACAATCAGGAAGTTGTAAATCACACAGCCCGGCCTCTTTCCACTAAACCACAGGGCTTACCCAGCAAAGGCTAAACGACACATCAGTTATTCAGATTCTCAAACAAAAGGCGATGCACATAGTACAACCACTTTAAAAACAGTCTGTTCATTCTTTTACAAATTAAGTTTATACCTAACATGTGGTCCAACCATTTCCCTCCCAGCTGAGATGAAAGAAATGAGTGTGTGTCTGTACAGACACCTAACACGAGTGTTCTCAGCACCTTCACTTGTAAAATAGGCAACACCCGTTAAGTTCACAGTATGTCATTAAAGCTACTTAAACAAAATTCATGCACATACTTGACATTCGTCAGTATTTCTTTCTCAGTTGTTTTCCTTCCAAGTAGAAAGCCACTCTTCACTTTTACTCGATAGCAGATGTTATGAAAACTTAACACAGCCCCTTCAGTAAGCGTCTTCAGGTCATTGGGGGTCATCCTGGGGAGGCCGCTGGTTTTTGTATGTGACATCGGGACAAAAACTTGGTCATTCCTGGAAGACATCTGGAGAGCTTCTGCCCTTCTGTAGAGAGAAAAGCAATGTAAGTTGATCGTCTGGAAAATGAGATTGTACACATGAGCTAGTGGAACACTTAAAACAAGAGTGGTTTTATAAATGTCCAGTTATAAAACTAAAAAGTCTTGGAGATCTAATGTACAGCCTGGTAAGTGTAGTGCAATACTGTATTATATACTTGAGAGTTGCCTATAGTGGATCTTGAGAGTTCTGATCACAAGAAGGGAAAATACCTGTAACTGTGTGGTGGTAGATGTTAACGAGACTTATTGAGGGGATCATTTCACAACATACACAATTACTGAATCTTTATGTTGTACACCTGACACTAACGCTGTACATCAATTAAAAATCAGTAACCCTGGTTTGTGTGGCTTCAGCGCCAGTCTGTGAACAGTCAAGGCACTTGCCTGGGTTGTGGACCAGGTCCCCAGGAGGGGGCATGTGAGAGGCAACTGCACATTGATGTTTCTGTCCCTCTTTCTTTTTCCCTTCCCCTCTCTCTAAAAATAAGTAAAGTCTTTTCCCAAAAAGATTTAAGATTTTATTTATTTATCTTTAGAGGGGAAGGGAAGGAGAGAGGGGAAAATATCAATGTATGGTTGCATCTCGTGGGTCCTCTGCTGGGAACTGGCTTGCAACTCAGGCATGTGCCCTGACTGGGAATCGAACCGCAATCCTCTGGTTTGCAGGCCTGCACTCCATCTACTGAGCTACACCAGCCAGGGCTTATATAAAGTCTTAAAAAATTTTTTTAAACTGTAAAAAGAATATAGATCTAAATCTCTTAGAAATAATGTAAAATACCTCATTAGTCATCTTTATATTGATTACACGGTAAGTAAAAATATTTCATATATATTGGGTTCAGTAAGATATATTATCAACATTAAAAAAAGAACAAGTCCACTTTAAACTTCCCTGCAATAAACAGCTCCATTTCCAATGAAAAGCCCATATCATAGTGATAAAGAATACCTTAGAACTCCTATCACAGAGACAGACAAAACTCTGAATACATAAACTCCAATTAGATATCAATTAAATATCAAATCAGTAAATAGAAAGAATATTAAAATTACTCAAATCTCATAAAACAGAAATAGGATGAGTGGGAGTTAAACCTGTCTACCTTGGAAAGCATATTATGATATGATTCAAGATCAGGGACAGATTACATGATCACCAACCCCTTATTGTTTTTGATATTTTGGGGATAATTTTGGAGTTTATGACATAGGTATCACCAAAAAAGTCTTAGCCAGGTAGTTAGGGACAAGAGAAATTTCTCTGAATTTGTACGTCCAGGCTTTCTGTCACTGTTTACATTACTACTTCAATCAGCTAAGAAGGTAAACTTTAAAAGAGTTTGAAAAGACATAATCACTTATTTAATGGGAGAACATATTTAAATTCTAGGTTTAGAATTAAGTATAAAAATTATTAAGAAAATGAAACCAATATTTAAGCAGTTAAAGAGCTTAAAATGAAACCTGAGTATTAAATTAATAAATCAAGTTTAAAATGTTTTATTAAGGAAGTTACAAAAAGTCCTTTAAAAGATTTTATTAGGGAGACTTCCGCCAAGATGGAGGTTTAGGTGGATGTGCCGTGCCTCCTCACACAACCAAGTTTAGGGACAACTAAATATTAGCATCAGAAAACACAACCAGAACACGGAAAACTGAACTTTTCGGAAGTCCGCTAACAACAAATTCTTCAGCCCGACCGGTAAGGGGCAAAACCGGCGTCTGGTGAGGAGTTGCAAAGGAGGGCTCGGTCGGACCTGGGCACGGAATCCAGACGCGCGAATCCAGACGCACGGGTTCCAAACGCAGGATTGGACCTAGTGAGCGACTGCAGAGGAGACAGTGGGGAGGCGGTGCAGCGTGTTGACTGCGGTTGCCTAATTGCACGCGAGCGAGGGAGTGGGCGGTTGGACCGCCGCGGCGGCGATAGAGGGCGGCCGCAGCGATAGAGGGCGCCGCCACTTCCCCGCTCTGGCCACGCCCCCACATACAGCGTCACAACCCAGCGACCTGGGAGTCCAAGGCGCCGCTTCTCACATTTAAAGGGCCAGAACAGACCAAAAATGTCGCAGGAAGACCTCAAAGTCCCAGAGATAAATCTAAGCGACGAAGAAATAGCAAAACTCTCAGACGCACAGTTTAAAACACTGGTCATCAGCTTCCTCACAGATCTGGTTGATTATAGCCACAAATTAGAGAAACATATGAAGGCTAAATTAAGGGAAATGAATGGAATTCCACAGGAAACCCATAGAGATGAAAAGGAAACTGGGACTCAAATCAATGGAGTGAACCAGAAGAAAGCAAATAATGGCCAAACAGAAAAGAGTCAAGGAGCAAGAATTCAAAGAAATGAGGAGAGTCTCAGGAACCTCCAGGACATCTTTAAACGCTCCAATATCCGAATTATAGGGGTACCAGAAGGGGGAAAGACACAACCACCAGTGGAAAAACTATTTGAACAAATAATAAAAGAAAATTTCCCCAATCTGGCAAAGGAAATAGACTTCCAAGAAATCCAAGAAGCCCAGAGAGTACCAAAAAAGTTGGACTCAAGAAGAAACACACCAAGGCATATCATAATTACATTAGCCAAAATTAAAATGAAGGAAAGAATCCTAGAAGCAGCAAGAGCTAAGGGGACAATCACCTACAAAGGAGTCCCCATCAGACTGTCAGCAGATTTCTCAAAAGAGACCTTACAGGCAAGAAGGGGCTGGAAAGAAATATTCCAAGTCATGAAATCTAAAGACCTACAACCAAGATTGCTCTATCCAGCAAAACTTTCATTTAGAATGGAAGGACAGATAAGGTGCTTCTCAGATAAGACCAAATTCAAGGAGTTCATCATCACCAAGCCCTTATTATATGAAATGTTAAAGGGACTTATCTAAGAAAAAGAAGTTAAAGAAACATGAACAGTGAAAGGACAACAAGCTCACAGTTATTAACAACCACACCTAAAACGAAAGCAAACTAAAAGAACAGCTAGATCAGGAGTGGAAATATAGAAATGAAGATCTCAAGGAGGGTTAGCAACAGGGGAGTGGGAGGAGGAGATGGGGGGAGAAGGTACAGAAAATAAGTAGCATAGACAGTAGATAGAAAATAGATGGGGGGGGCAAGAATAGCATGGGAAATATAGAACCTAAAGGACTTGAGACACATGGACATAAACTAAAGGGGGGTAATGGTGGGGATGGGGGGGCAGGGTGGAGGGGAATGAAGGGGGGAATAGAACAGCCGTAACAGCATAATCAATTAAAAAAAATAAATTAAAAAAAAGATTTTATTAGGGTAAGAAATTAAATTAACAGCTTGTGAATCGGTTTAAAAATCAACTAACTTCAATTAACATAGTTTTAATTTTTAAAAATCAAAGTAATCATGAAGAGGTGTCGCTCTTGCTGTGATGGAGTAGCTGTTCAAAAGCAATTTTCCAACTTCTGGCCAAGATAGAGGAGTAGATAGATACACTGTGCCTCCTTGCACAACCAAAAGAAGGACAACAACAAATTTAAAAATAAAAAAAACAGACGGTCAGAAAATCAAACTGTATGGAATTCCAACAACCAAGGAGTTAAAGAAAAAACATTCATCCAGACCTGTAGGAGGGGCAAAGCCAGGCAGCCAGGCAGAGGGGACTCATGGCAAGGCAGCAGCTTGTACAGAATGTGGGCAGTTCCACATTCACATGTGGATAAACTTGGAGGAACAACTGGGGAGCCAGACAGACCATGCAACCCAGGGTTCCAGCACAGGGAAATAAAGCCTCAAAATCTCTGACTAAAAAAACCTGTGGAGGTTGCAGTAGTGGGAGAAACTCCAAGCCTCACAAGAGAGTTAGTTGTAGAGACCCACGGGGTCCTAGAATGTACAGAAAACCACCCACCTGGGAATCAGCACCAGAAGGGCCCAATTTGCTTGTGGGTAGCAGGGGAAGTGACTGAAAACCAGCAGAGAGCTGAGCAAGTGGCACTGTTCCCTCTTGGACCCCTCCCCAACATACAATGCCACAATGCAGGGAAGTGGGTCACCCCTTCCCTGGCAATACCTAAAGCTTCATCCCTTACTGCAAAACAGGCCCATGGAGGAAAAAAAAGTGGCCCAAATGAAAGAACACATCAAAGCTTCAGGAAAAAAACTAAGCTATGAAGAGACAGCCAACTGATCACATGCACAGTTCAAAACACTGCTAATCAGAATGATCACAGAATGGTTGAGTATGATCCCAAAAGAGAGGAAAATATGCAGGCTATGCAAAGTGAAATAAAGGAAAATGTACAGGGAACCAACAGTGATGGGAAGGAAATTGAAACTTAAATCAATGATTTGGAGCAGAAAAAAGAAACATTCAACAAGAATAGAATGAAGAAACAAGAATTCAAAAAAAAATGAGGAGAGGCTTACAAACTTCTGGGATGACTTTAAACATTTCAACATCAGGATCATAGGGGTACCAGAAGGAGAAGAGGAAGAGCAAGAAGTGGAAAAGTTATTTGAACAAATAATAAAGGAGAACTTCCCTATTCTGGTGAAAGAAATATACTTCCAGAGAGTCCTGGAAGCTCAGAGGGTCCCAAAGAAGTTGGACCCAAGGGAAGCACACAACAAGTCACATCATAATTACATTACCCAAGATTGAAGATAAGAAGCCAATCCTGAAAGCAGCAAGAGAAAAGGAGGTAGTTACCTATACAGGAAATCCCATAAGACTATTGGCTGATTTCTCAAAAGAAACCTTGCAGGAAAGAAGGCTGGAAGTATTCAAGTATTCAAGTCATGAAACACAAGGACCTATGTCCAAGATTACTCTATCCAGCAAAGCTATCATTTAGAACAGAAGGGCAGATAAAGTGCTTCCAAGATAAGGTTAGGTTAAAGGAGTTCATCATCAGCAAGCCATTACTATATGAAATGTTAAAAGGACTTGTCTAGGAAAAGGAAGATAAAAAGTACGAACAGTAAAATGACAAC